TGTCGGCCCAAGCCGCTCGGCTGCCTGTCCCGGGACTCTGGGTGGCTGGGAGCTCACTCCCTGCTCTCCGGACAGACGATCATCAAGGCAGAACCGACTGACAGCCTGGTTTCTCCCGTGCGGACGATGGCGATGGAGGCCCTCTCGCACCTGAGGTGAGCTGGGCCCCTGCCTGGGTCCCAGATGCCTCCCCTGGGTGGAGGCAAAGTCTGAGACCCCTCCTCAGTGCTCCGCGGGGGCTCGCGCCTCCTTTGCCCTCTCCTCTGTAGCCAGCGAGTCGGGATGCAGCTTCCGGGGCAATGGGCCTTCCTGGGGGGAGGGGGTCTGCTCCCACCAGCTCTTTCCCGTAATTCTCAGCAATACTCCAAGTCAGGCTCTTCTCTTCGGATTGGGAGGTGAATGGCCGGTGGCGGGTGGCTACTCCTTGGTCCCTTAGGGGATGTTTTGAGCTAGAAATCCCACAGTGGTGATGCATAGCACAGCTGGGAAAGACCGTCCTTCAGGTTGGGCTGGGCTCAGTCAAGGAATGTATTTATTGATCCAGTATTGATACAGTTAATACAAAGTAATAGAAGGCTGAGGTCTGCCTTCCGGGAATTGTCCGTCCCCCGGTGGGGCAGGGGAAGGTGCGGGAAGAAAGGTGTTTGTAAATGAGTATTTGAAGTGGTCAGGCGGTCTCTAGGAATTCTTCACCTATGGGGGCAGAGTCAACATTTAGGCTCATAGCAGAACTCTCTGTTGCTTTAAGAGGGAGCACATGGGCAGATGTCAAATAAAATTCACAAACATCCCTTCGGGGACTTGGAGGTAAGAAACACACACACAAGGAGTTACAGGTCAGAGCTGAGTATTTGTAGGAAAACAGCTAAGTAAAACTAAACAAGGGGGCTGCTAATAAGATGCCACTCAGTCGATATAACAAAGGCTGTCAAAGGCCTTGGTGGGGGAGTTGGCTTTTGACTTAAACAAAATGACCAGATTTGGGTAGGAGCTGAACCGGCAGGGTGAAGTGCAGGACCCCTTTGGGGGCAGGGATTTAAAGCTGGTGGTGGCTCCCAATGCTGGAGGCACAGCAGAGCCAACGGGGAACTTTGAACGGCGCTGATACCCACCCCCACCCTAGACCCTTAAGTAAGATCCCCGGAGCTGGGCATGGCCCCTGAAGCCCTAATTGAAAAGCCCTCCTGTGATCTTAACGGGCACCTAGGCCTGAGAACTGTCTATGAAGTGGGCAGAAAGAGGATGAGCCAGCACGCACCAAGCAGCTAGCCACCACCCGAGAAGGTTTATTAAAACACCGACGGCTGGGCTCCATTTTGGAGTTTTTGGTTCTGTAGCTCTGCGGTCGAGCCACAGAATCTGCATTTCTAATAAGCTCCAGGTATTACCATTGAAAACCCCTGGGCCAGGACCAGCCTGGGAGGCAGAATACTTGGCTGTGGTTAGGGAGGAGCGATGGAATGTTCCAGAACAGGAGAGGGGCAGGCTCAGCACGGGCGACAAGTAGAAGAGGTGGCCCTGGACCCCTGAGTCTCCCCGTCAATCACAAACAGTCACTGGATACCGGTGGTGGGGGGATCCAGGGCCCTGGGAAGGGATGCAGGTCTGAGCCCCCAACCAGGGATGCTGGCCTCGCCCTCATTCTCTGACACACCTCCACACCCCAGGCTGGGCAGAGGGTGGCGGGTTCTCAACTCCCCACTGACCGCTCCTCTTGTCACTTCTTTCTCTAGCAAACTGAAGCCTTTCTACTCCACAGAGGAAAGCAGTGAGCTGATGGATATCAGTATACATTCTGTCATTTCTCTCCGACCCCCAGGAGAAAATGAGTCCATTAAGGTTGGTCCCTCTGGGTCACCTCATTTTCTGCGTCAGGACTTGGAAGTTCACATTAACACGGGCAGTGCTGAGCGCCCACCGTCCTGAGCCACCTGTGAGCGGCAGGAGGCAGCAAAGTGCAGCAGGCTCTGTCAGTAAGTGTGAGGGAATGCTGGCTGCTGTAACAAACTCCGAAATCTCCATGGTTTAACATGATGAAAGTTTATTTCTCACTCACATTAAGTCTAAATGGCAGCAGAGGTGGCGATGAGGCTGTTTCATGCGGTTATTCAGGGACCCAGGCTGACAGAGGCACCAGCATCTCCAACGCATGGCTCCTAAGTCCCTGTGGGCACTGATACCCAGCTTGAGAGAGAGCCTGGAGGGTTTCTAAACCGCTTTGCCCACCTTCCACTGGCCAGAACTCAGACACATGGCTCCACCTGAATGCAAGGGATCCTGGGAAATGTAGTCCTTGCCTGGATGGCTGTTTTCCAGGAATGCTGTGGAAAAGGAGGACAAATCTTTCCTGGGCAGGTCGCCAACTGTGCCTGAAGGTCTTGGCCCCAGATGAGGGGTCAGGAGACGCAGGCTCTAGGAGTTCAGTTTTCCCCTTTGTAAAACGGGTCCCTCTAGAGGTTGTCTTACACGCCACGTGAGAAGCTAGGTGTAAAGAGCTCAATCTGAGAAAAAGTCAAAGGGCGATTATCAGACCATCTCACAGTATGTGACCCTGGCGTGGACATGCACAGAGTCGGGGTGGGTGGCTGTGTGCGGCTCCAGCTCTCCCCTCTCTCGGCCGCAGACCCTCTATGTGAACACCCTGCGCGCCCTGGAGCAGCTGATGGAGGGCCTCATGCAGAGGCAGCTGGACCCCAAGGGGCTGCAGGAGATGGTGCACGTAAGTTGTCTGGCGAGGGGCCAGAAGCCAGGGTGGCCACCCCTCCCAGAAAGCTGGCTTGAGAGCCGGAGGCTCTGTGGGACGCAGGGGTACACATTAAAAACTGATTGGGGGAATTTTATTTAGATAAAACTTCAAAGTGGCTGAGAAGATGCAAGAATAATACAAAGAACTCCTGTACACTTTTCACCCAGATCCACGGTTCTTAATAATCTTGTGACTTTCTTTTTCTTTCTTTTTCTCATTCACATGCACACACACATGCACGCCCCTTTTGAATCACGGAGTGTTGGTTGCTGACATGAAGGACAAAAATGTTCTCTTATATAACAACAGTACAGTGATCAAAACCAGGAAATTTAATACTGAAGCAATGCTACGTTCTAATCTACCTTCTAATTGTCCCAATAATATCCTTCTAAGTTATTTTCCCCCAAACCTAGGATCTAATCTGTATTATGCATTGCAGTGAATTGTCATGTCTCCTCACTCTCTTTCA